TACATAAAGTTTTTTACTGTATTCAGTAATGAAGCTTATGGTGGTAACAAAATGCAGCCAGTTGTTGGACCAAGATATGTTAAGTAGAAGGCAGTATGGGCTGTAAAGGCCCTGCAGGCAAAAGGAAAAGGCTAATAATCTGAGAGACAGGAACAACGGCCCATTCAGTTAACCCTTCAGTCTGATTGTTTGATTCTTATTTTTGTCAAAAATTATCGAAAAAAAAAGAGATAAATATAATCAACAAAACTGCCTAGAGTGGTGAATACAGTTCATCATCCGTACGTTTGACGTACTTAGCATGCCTCCCTATTTCATATTATTATTATTTTTTGACTTAAATTGGACAGCTTTCTTTTTTGCATATAAGTTTTTTTTTGTGAGGATTTTTCTTGTACTATTTTGGAAACCATATGTTAACACAAGGCTTTACACATTCTTGCTGTTTCAATTAAAAAAAAAAATAGTTCTTTAGAGTAGTGATACTTTCAAGATTTCAGTATTGGAAGAAAATGCCAATCTGCTTCAACTGTTCAATAAAACCATACTAAGCAATCTGGAACAGCTCCTCTCCCAAATGATTCAATTTCTGTGGCAAACCCAAAAGCGCCTCGGCCAATTCAAGCATTTGGATGTATCGCAAGTTTTCCAATGCGCTGTAACAGAAATCGTTATGAAAGTAAGATCAGTGCTTCAATCATACAGAAAAAGAATCAGCCAGAAAACTGAAACATTTCTTACCATTATAATAATCGGAACATTTCTTATCGTAATAATAATTTCACAAATTTTTTAACTTTATAATTCTCATTTTTTACCTTTCTTTTCGATTCTTTTGCTTACTTCATTCATTGAAAATTATGCGATTCTACGCTCTGATGAATGATAGACAACTTCGTAAATATTTCTTGACATACGCGGATCTATGACGGGTTCCTGGGGGAAGGAGAGGCAATGGAGGTGCGGAAGAGAGTTTTCATTAGTTTTAGCTTTAGACCCGGACTTTTGTAATACTGGTGCCTGTGCCGCTGGGAGAGGAGGGGGCAAAAAGACCCATCCCCCTGGGCCCGGCTATGCTTCCTGAGCACAAGAAAAAATCCAACAACAACAACAATGCATTTTCAAACCCTTCAAAAATGCTCGCCTTCACGTGTACCAGAGTGGTCCTTTGCACAGTAAGTGGAGCAAGTTAAACGAGTTTTTTTCAGGAATTACGGGAAAATTCACGATGTGCAGTAAACGAAATCCGTGCTCTGATGAATGGACTACATTCTAACTCCCAACGACGAACATTGATCCCAGTCAAGGAAGAAATAAATTGGCGAGCGAAAACTCAGAACGCGTTGCAGTTGCTAGAAAATGATCTACAACACTGCTTCGATGAATATTCACTACCAGCCTATACGTCCGCGATTCCGCTACTTCTAAATGATACTACCAATACGCCTTTAACCGAAACTTTTTCGAATACAGCCCCCTCGAATGGCATTATTAATCGACCTTCCAGCTTTTCTAGTTACCGAGTTAGCAATTTTCCCGTCAAACATTTCACGTACCCCCACGTAAGAACAGATACGCCTGCGACTCCTTTTCGCCCAAATGTCACTGAAAATACACTTTAATCGATATCAGTGTGATCACCTTGACCCCATACTTAACGGATACCTTTCTGAATAATGAAAAAGTTGCAGTCGTTATAGGCCATGCATTTCTAAAACTAGTTCATGACCCAAAAGATAGATTGATGCTCAAACATGCGAAGAAGCAGCACCGCATCACAGGAATTTTTTTGTCCATTCGATGCACCTAAGGTACAGAATTTCAAATCCCCGACCTGTATCGTAATAAGCATATTAGATGATTAATTCAGATGAACAAGAATACTTCGGTCCATTAAGTCGTATACATTTCCACTTAGTACCATAACTGAACCTCATCAGTACAACCATATCTTTGTCCTTGCAAATACAAAACTGCAAAAGATTCATAGGCCAGAAATCTAGAGGCTTGGAATCTGCTTGCCACGGATATACTTGAATACTTAAGCAGCTGTATGTCATCAACGTTCGTTGTCACCCCATCGATGCAGCTAGCAACTTCTCCATTCAACTCGTTATTGCACTCTTCGTGTCCATGTGATACTGGGCAGGCGTACCATGGGGTCTATCCACCTCACTAGTGGCTTCCCCATTGTTCACTTGATTGTGCGTGGATACCATTTCATTATCCGCTTCGTTCATCTTTTGTCCCTCATCCGTGCCAGTCCATCTCTTCTTGCTGGCGCACATTGCTTTGATGTTTTTCACGCCAGATCTAGCTCGGTGCACTTCATTCGGAATATGCTGTAGCCTGCTGGCGCCAACCATCCATCGCTCCATGGCTCTTTGAGACACTGCTAATTTCTGTTCTTCAGCAAAGTACGCCACAAATATAGTTCAATAAATTGATCTGGTGGCCGTAAGCCACTGAAATTACAGATACGTGGCTTGACTTCTCCTACAAAAGCAACTACAACATAATTTTGAAACAGCTATTAATTCACCGCTGATTCGTCAATAACGTAATCGATCGGCCATGACATCCCCTTCATTTCACCGATTTTTTGAACAATGCTGCATAAACGGATAATCAGTCTTCTGGTGATTGTAGCGTTCATCGCCTGGAAAAATATTGGCTCAAATGGCTCGCTCAACACAAGCACTTTATCGTATATCTTTTCAGTCTGAATTAATGTTCTCAGAAAAAAACATTGGTGACGCGCACTAGGCGGGCCTGTGCAATCATGCGTTTTTGCAGTATTTCGTGCTGTCGTAAGATCACTTGGAATCCCAGTACCTAGAATTTGTGATATACTGATTCTCGAAGTTCAGGAAGTTAATTGTACAATACCTGTGGTGCTTGGGAACATTCTGTTAAAATTCCAGCTTCCCAGCTTTTCCGGTTACCGAATCAGCGATTTTTCCGCCAGGAACTTTCACGTAACTGTATGTGGAACTTAGCGTGCGTAAGGGTTGGTGCCGCAATCTTGGAGTGGCACTTGGCCGAAGAATCCGCTGGCAAAACTTTAGCGTCGGAGCTTGCTTGGTTGCCGAGTTGAAATATCCGGACAGACGCGCACAGACATGCACGCACAAACTACACACACACACAAAAACACACACTGGGATATAAGTTTTCGCATTCGCATATACGCAAAAATTATGATTTATTACATTTAAATTTATCAAAAAGCGTTTCACGCTACTGATAACAGTAAAGCACAAAGGAGTGGCAAAAAATAGCAAAATTTTTTTATCAGAAAATTGTCAACATGCACAAAATGACAGGTGGTGTAGCGTATGATATAGATAACTGGAGTGTGACAGTAAAAAAGATGCATCAAAAAATACAAATAACTGGTTATAGGTAAATAATCAAAAAAAAAAAAAGACAAAAATTTGGAATACGGTGGACTTGACACATTAACGCCCGGGATTTGAGTAACACGAAGACCCTGTACTCGGCCGAGATGAGACTGCAGCTTATCAATGTATGCAAAATAAGGGAAACAGAAGTGATATAGAAAATACCATAAGCGTTAAAGTCAAATCAGAGTGCTTACATGTTATAAAAATCGAAGCTTTATAAAAGTACCAAACAGTTAAAGCTGGTGAAAACAGGGAAGTACAAAAAAAGCCGAGGATGAGAGGCCGAGGGCACAAAATGATAGTCCGGAAGGTCATGGTATTCCCCATAGTATAAAAGTACCAAAAATTCAATTAAAGCTGATGGAAAACAGGAAAAAAGGAAGAACCGATGAGGATGAGAGATCTGGTTTGGCTTAAGCTCAGTATCCCGGAAATAGGATTTAATACTTGCACAAAATTTAACCCAGGTATGCAAATAAAAATTCTTCACTGGAATTACAACAGTTTAGCTCAGATTTAGTTTCCGATACAATACAGGGCAGATAGATCACCAGAAATATGAATCCAGAACAACCTCAGTTCTTCGGGATTTTGGGCAACAAAGCACCTCTTTTTCGCGCATTCCATTGGTCCGATCAAAACAAGTTAATGGTCATAAAAAAAAAGAACAATGCGCAAAATAAGTGAATGATATATGGAAATATTCAAGATGTATAATGTTTCCAATGGTAGTGAGTTCTTCGACAAAACACTTCACTGTGGACAATGGAGGGGAAGGAAGAAAAGAATTAGAACTGTTTGAGCTCAGAATTCAGAAATTTCGAAAAAAAAATTCAAAAAAATCTGCTCAAGTTCCACCAAGAAGCCGGAAAATCTGATAGTTGCATAGTCACAGAAGCAAACTATCATTTACAACTGATCCAAATATAATCTATGAAATATGAAAGTTGCATATAACAGAAAAAACACGCCGTTGTGGTGAACAAAAAACAGAGTTTATCATGGTCAATATGAGCACGCCCAATGCTATGAGCTTAGGTGTGCAGCAATGAGGTTTGAGGAATGGAATCTGTTGGAATTACTGGAGAAGGCTGGAGTGCTAAGGGATTGAGGTTTCTGAAAAATTTGATTTCAAAAATAGCTAGAAAATGCCATGAATGCAATTTTTATCGTTCTTCAGAATTTTTTTTTGCTTTTTTTTTAAAATTTTTCC